TTTATTTATTTATTTTCAGTTTTCTCAGCATTGTATGATTAGAGAGCAAATCAGCTTTAACTGCAAAATGTCCACAGAGGAGGGAAGCTCCACTTGAGTGTTTTACAAGGTACAACCAATTAGTGGAGAACCCGCTGGTCCTCCCCTGGATCTTTCCTCCCTGCCATCCTCTCTGTGACTCAGGAGGCACTGGGTTGGCAAGGAGCTGGAAAGATGATCAGTCTGGCTAAGGCTAGACTTTAGTCAAGATGGCCAGGTGAATGTTCAGACAGAAAGGCTGGATGCGGAAGGGGAGATGCGTACTGAGCTTGGGGTCCGGGTCTCCATCCCTGGCTGTGTGATCTTGTGCAGTCACTTGAGTGTCAGTCCATCTATAAAAACTAAAATAGGGATAATAATGATAATTTCTGGCACCACAGATGGTTGCAAGGGTCAGAAGAGATATGCACACATACTGACACACAATATATCTTGTATATTATACAGACATACCTATGTATATATACAGATGTACATTGTAATTATGTGTACAATCAACCAGCTCCCTCTATGACCTAATGCAAAGACAGCTGCCCTTTATAGTCAGAATTCTCATTGAAATCCTTCACTCAAAAATTTCAACTAACTCAGTGGCATAGAAATAAGAAGAAAGCTTCAAATAATTGATTGCTGGCCAAAGTGTGAAGAACACTTCTTTTTCAGCAAGTCTCTTCCCTCCCCTTCTCTCTCTGTCCCCACCAGTCCTCACCACCTTGGGAGACCATCCCAGACCTCTTGTCAAGGTGAAGGAATCAAGCCCTGAGCTCTCAAAGGAGAGTTAGTATTATGTAATTTCCCTCACCAAAGAGCACCTAACTACCACAGGACATCTTTGCAGCCTCCAAGATTCAAAGAGGTAAATCCCCTAATGGTAGCATTGAATCCAATAAGATGGATTGCTTTTGGCAAGCCCACCTTCCTGTTTTCTCTCTGTCTCCTGCTTTCAAGTTTATGTTTTGCCTATTTGAATGTACCTGAAAACTTTCCATTAAAAACATGCATACAATTTCCAATGTTCAAACCGTTTTCACAACATCTAGCCAAGATCTTGTGTTAAGAAAGTTAATTATGAATTTCACTCTTCCCAAGGAAAAATCAGAAGGTGCTGACTCCCTCTAAAGTACCTTGTGTCAACGAGGTTGTAAAAATCACAAGAAGAGGGACTGTGGCATTTTTCTTATCTAAAGTGTAGCTCATCCAAGGAGAATGGTCAGGTTGGAAGAGGGCATGTGTGCATCCAACCTTTCTAATTATACATAAACTGCACCCAAAATTTTTGAAATAACAGCCCCAGTGTATGTGTGTGATTGCCATTAGCTATTATCTCAAAGCAACCATTCATTGGAGGCCCATATGATCAACCTTTATATAAATCCAAATCACCAGTAATTGTGATAATTCCATTTTTTTTGCCTTTTATTCCTTTAAAAATGTTTGTAACATGTAAATCAGGATTTATTAATGATGTTATTATTGACACTTTTGGCCAGATAATTCTTTGTTGGTCTCTGTCCTGTACATTCTAGGATGTTTAACAGCCTCCTTAGCTTCTATCCACTAGATGTTGCGGCACCTCCCAGGCAGAACAATGAAAACTGTCTCCAGACATTGCTTCAGTTTCTCCTGGGAGGCAGAGTTATGCCTGTTGAAAACTGTCCATCTCAATATACTAGTACAGTCGTAGTAGAACTTGCATCAAATATTTTACTTTCAGTGTGAGACTTCTTTGCAGAGATATTGCAAAGCTTTTGTAAATTTAGAGAGGGTGAATTAGTAAATCAAGATATTATAATCAGGGTTTACACTTACCAGACAGTGGTAAACCCTAGAATTAAACTGTGTGCTGTAAACAAGTAAGTCAGAGAACCACTGTTGGTGGCTTTTGATATGGAACTCCTCGTCTTACCTCAGGATGACAGCTACGTGTGCGTGGATATCAGAGATGACCCAGCCAAGAGTAAGGAGAGTGAGGTATTTATACACCAACTCCTCTAGGCATTAGAGGCTGCTTCGGGGATGATGTTAATTCTTTATAGCTTCTGACTTGTTATGGAGTGGGGCCAGAGGAGTAGTGGGTTCCGGTCAGTAACTCATAGAGCTGGAATTTCAACCAGCTTGTGGAAAATACTAAGGATGGTGGACATGTGGGCAGGGTGGTGACAGTGTCTGCTATGATCCTAAGAGCCTGCGGGAATGAGATGAGAGAGAGAGATGAAACCAAGAGACACGTGAAGGAATATGGTCCATGGTGGCAGGCTGAAAGCCGTAGGTGGAGGGATTGCCTGGGGGCAGGATGCTACCTCATCTTCTGAGTCTCGAAGGAAGCTGGGAAGGAAGGCTGCAAATGTAGGCAGGTTAATGTGTTTTATGGGAAGGTGTGGGGTTGACATTTGCTGTCATTGTTTTCTTGCTAACCCAAGAGAGGTTCATCCCTAGAAAGGGATGATCTCTATTAAGTTCGAAAAGCAAGGTTTGTAATAGCTGCAAAGGGAAATGGGAGACAAAGTGAAGAAATAGGAGCAGCAGTTAAGAGTTTGGTTGAGACAAAAATCAATAACTTGGTGGTGGCACCAATTTTATGGGCTGGCAGAACATTGCCAGCAGTGCTTCGTAGATGTGACACAAGGGCAGAGAGCGCGAATTGTGGGACTCATTCACTTACTGAGCAAATATTTATTGAGTGTCTAATATGTTTCAGGCACTAACTGCTAGAGATAAGATAGTTAATAGACACATTGTAAATAGACAAAGATTCTATGATTTTATAGAGCTTAGATAGAAGAAACAGTAGAGAGGAGACAGAAATTAAGATCAATGAGTAAGATTAGAATATATTGACAATAAGCAGAGAATGGAGATACAGAGTGTGGGGCTGGAAGGTGACATTTTACACTGGGAACATGAGAAGGCGTCATTTGAAAAAAGACTTGTAAGAGGTGAGAGATGGATCCAGATGGGTGTCTGGGAGACTTGTTGCAGGCAGAGGGAACAGTGAAGGACGAAGGTCCTAAGGCAGAAGTGTGCCTGGCATGTGGGGGAATGCCAACATTACAGTGAGGACCAGACCAACATGATGTGCAAGGGGAAAAGGGTTTAAACTGAGGAGAGAGAGAACAAAGTTGGACGGCCACCTTGCATAAAGTCTTGTAATCCATGGCTTTTAGGTTGATTCAGTGCTGGAAGTTTTAAGGGAAGATGAAGGGTGAGGACAAGGGATGGAAATGACTGAGAACATTGATGACAACATATTTTAAATGACCCCTGAGAAGGGAAGGAAGTGAGTCTGAGAGCAAGCAGATAAACTGAGAGCCCTATGATGAATGGGAAGAGAAGCAACAGAGAATAAATTCATAAAAGGTAAAGGAGAAAGAGCATACTTATTAACGACAGCTAGCAGTTCTATTCACCTGTGAGAAGTGCTCGTTTCTCTATTACCTCATTTAAATGTCCCACCCACCGGATGTGGTAGTAAATATTATTCAAGTTGTGCAGCTGAGGAAATTAAGGCATAGAGACTGATGGCTCTTTTCTAAAGACATGCTGCTGGGCAGTTGTAAAATTGGGATTTAAACTCTATCAGTCTAATTCTGAGGCTCCTGTTCTTAACCAATTTATTTTACAATGCCAAATAATGCAGATGATTCATGAGTGCTGAAGACTAGACACAGGTCCATGGCAATTGAACATTAGGAGATCATTGGCGACAGTAGGTGGGAGTGTAGGTGCCCTTTGCAGTCCTCTAGTGACTCCGTGGTGGGAAAGAAGGAGAGGCTGGGAAGGACTGGAGAGGCAGGGAGATTATGAGAGTGACACCAAGTTCACATAAAATTAAAACAGAAAAAAGATCAAAGAGGTTTGCACTACTTCATAGCCTGAGAGGAAGGTGTCAGAAGGAAGTGAAACAAAGGAGATAAAGTGTGAGTTGATTAATTTATGGAGCACAGTTATGGAACAAGTTTGAAGGGTTGGAATTATAAATTTGCCTTGGAAAGGAAGATCCTCCTTTTGAAGGAAAATAACTGAGGACCGGAGAAGTAAACTGTGAAGCTAAGCCAATTAAACAATAGCTCAGGCACCAGAGTCCAGGTCTTCTGATTGTCAAGACAAGTCCATTCCACTAGGTCACCCAACTACTCTCGCTGAATCATCGTCTGCCAGTCACTTATCCCTGACCCAAAGGGCGCTGTTATAGTTAATGAATAAATACGGTACAGCAAAATCCCCTGTGAATGCACAGCTCCACAGAAAAGCTAAAGACGTCTTGACCTTTGAGTTTCCTTCACAGCTCCCTCCCTCTGCAGCTCTTCAGCACAGCGTACTGGCTTTTCTTGACTATAAATGGACTTGCAGTTACTGCAGGTTCCGTCTACATTGATGCCAAACAGGGACTCAGGTGGAGAGAACTAAGGTCACCCTCAGGGAATTTTCTAGCTGAACTGGGCTTCTCCAAGTCTTGAAATCAGAATGCTTCTGTACGTAAATGGAGTAAAAATGGGAAATCAAGCCAGTGGGTGACTGGGCATAATTTAGAGCAACAGTTTCTGATATGACAGATCCTAGCAGGCAACCTCAAGAGAGCCTCAAATTTAGTTGTAGTGTAAGTAGGTGGAATGAATAATTGTGGTTTTGACTTTTGAATTTCCTACATTTGGCTGGTGGTTATTGTAGCCGTAATTTGGGTCATATGTATTCTAGCAGGTTTTTGCTTTAAGAATCTACATTGTTTTTTTTTTCTTGGAGGCAGGCAGTACATCCACACATAAGATTTTATGTATTTATTTTTATAGCAATGAACTTTTTTACATGATAGGAAATATTATAAATTTTTAACTTTGGAGGAATGACAATGGTCTTATTTTTAACCACTTGTATTATCTAGGGCAAACATTGAAATTCCTGGTTAATGTTTAACTACAAGTATGCTGAGTTCAAGTAAAGGATAAGTTTCAAGATTCAGGCCACATTGTCTTGTTTGGAATTCTGTCACCAAGAAGAAGCCCCAGGGATATTGGATATAACAGAAAGTAGGAGGCATACCTGACGTCTAGAAAATGTGGACCGGATATAAGATCTTAATCTTCTCTTACCTTACCACAGAAATTTGGATGGAGAAACAGCGTTTATCTCAAAGGGAAGTGCAACCAGGAGCTGATTTCACCAGGAATCATGTCATTTTGGAAGGTACTCGATTCAAAAGAGCCGTTTTCAAAGGGCAATACTGTAGACATTTTGGTTGTTGTGAAGACAGAGATGATGGCTGTACCACTCAGTTCTATGAGGCAAATGCCCTGTGTTACTGTGACACATTCTGTGAAAGGGAGAATTCTGATTGCTGTCCTGATTACAAGTCATTTTGCCTTGAAGAGAAAGAATGGCCTCCTCACACAAAGCCTGGGTATCCTGAAGGTAGGCTTTGGAAAAGCGTTCACATAGAACTTGTTCCTAACAAGATCTGTCAAACTTTCTCTTCTCTTTCCTTCTTTCCTTCCAAAATGAAATGAAAAACGAATGAATATGATGCTCACCTAACTAAATTTCCTTGGATTCTTAAAGGGCTTTGGTTTAGTTGCAAGTTACCTACATCATGCTAGCACCTTCAGGAAAGTTCTGGTGTGATGGCCATGAGTGGTGGGCTGGATTTCATTTTGAAGACTCGCTCAACTTACATAAGGTTCACTAAAAGCTCTCTCTTTCTTTGTAAAATGTACACACAACAGGATTCTCAAGCTTTTTGAGTGCGATCTCCCAGGACTCTCATCAAAGTCACAGACCTGATCATCTGAAGATTTATGTAACATTTTAGTTATTGTTTTATGGGATCTCCTGACATTAGAACCTGAGGCATAGCAATGTCATTAAAACTAGTACAAAAGCAAAATAAAGCCATCTACCCTTCCTGCCTTAGTAATAACAGATTGATTCTTTATGTGGATTTTTGTTTTGTTTTGCTAGTATGGGACTTGTAAATTATTAAAAACAAAGGATGGCTTCATGTAGACTAATTGTAAAAGTCTAAGATGGAGCAGATAAATACAAATAATTCATAAGGAGAATGGTGGAGTTTACTATATTGATCTGATTATAGGAAAATGACTATAGATTCTGAGCCATCAGTATATCCAAGTTTTACAACAAAACATACAACAAAACTCCACTGCTACGCTTAGATGAGGCCCTATTTTTCTGTCAGCCCTCATGTCAAATCTCAGCAAACATGCAGGTTTGATTGGAGATTTGTCACACAAGTATAAATGGGTGATGGTGATTAGAAATTACATTTAGAAGACAAGATAGGATAAACTAGGATTTGGTATCCTTATTTTAAAATCCAAATCCTGTTTCAAAAATCCTGTATTCTCTATTGCCTCTATTCTCAATAATAATATCTTTGTAAATTTGGGGAAATGCTTCTTAAAACACATACATATTACCGTATACACCAACTCCACAGAATTAAAATTTCCACAGAATTGTCATTTATCCCAGGCTTTTGCTTTTACCAAAAAACACAGCTCAGCAAATATTGATTTCATCCAAAAAAGTGGCAGATTCTCTACTAGGAATGGGAGACCTGGTTATTTAATAAAAAATTATTTACTAAATAGCACCACTACACCAGGCATTGTGATCAGTGCTGGGGTAACAATGGGGAAGAAAAAAAGATAAGATCTTATCCTCATTGAAGTGACAGTCAAGCTGGGGGTGGTTAAGATACAATGTTAATGGTGAGGGGGCAGCATCAGTGAGGGAAGCCACCTAAACTGAGATTGAGGAGTGGGGAGAAGTGAGCTGATCTGAAGAACTGTTGACAGAAAGGTGTGGAGCTGAGGGTAAGGAGCTTGGCTGGTCCAGGATCTGGGAGGAGGTCACCGGAGGGCAGTGATGAGTGGAGGGTTGGTGGCCTGAGATGAGGTTTGAGAGGTGAGTGGCGGTCAGATTATGCCAGGATTTTCAGGTCATAGTAAGGATTTGAGATTTTATTCTGTTACGAGAACTCATCAAAAGATGTTCAGTAGGGATAGGGTTGGATTCATGGGGGTTGAGTCTCGATATTATGTATAAACTGCCGTGGGTTTGATATGCTAAAATGTATTTGAGCTTTTCTTTTTAAGACAAACGGCCCATTTAGACAATGTAGTTGCCACTTCTTCAACATCCATTTTTGCATGAGGTAGAATATTTTTAAGACTTTAATTTAGGATTGTATTTTATCGGTAAAATGTATATCTTTATTCCATTTATTATGGAGGGAGGCAATTAATCATTTTATTTAGTAGCAAAAAGTTCACAGTAGGCTATAATTGCTCTCAGAGGTAATTATTTTTCTTTTGTTTTATCTTGCTTATGAAAGAAGCTGGTTGAAAGAAAATAGCACTACACAATATTGAAAAACTGTGCAAAATTAATTAAAATAAAAAGACAATGGTATTTTATTTATACTAATTTTTTAAATATGAAGTGACTTTTCTCTGAGATGCTGTTTTTCATTCACTGAACTAGTAAGCATTATTTTTCACTTATCTATATATGTGGTGTTATCTAGTTCCTTAAACTGCAACTGTCCCAAGAACCCTTTTTAAACCAGTGACTGAAAACTATGTACATTATTTTAGGATTAAATGAAAAGGTATGTCCCATTTGTATAACTTGGAAGTAGGGCATAATTGTATCTCCCATTTCTGATGGAAACTTCCAGGAATTGGAGGATTTCAAATGTCACATACAGAAAACAAGTGATAGAGTTGGAAACAGAACCGAGATGGATTTTCCAGACAGAATCCTTTGGTGTAGCTGATCTTAAGGAAAGAGTCTAGTATACCATCTGTTGTGAACAGACCTAAGTGTATTTGATTCTGCACAACTCTTATGTTTGTGTTCGTAGAAAATGTAGGTGAGCCACTGAAACATCTGAATTGCATGATGGTTATTTCCTCTGTCATTACCTCCTCAACCACATTGCAAGGAAGACAAGTCATAGTCCAAATTCCGCCGCACATACTGACAGTTACAAAAATAAATATCGGTAAGGAGACATAAACCAATTCATACAACCTCTGTAAGCTTCATGAAGTCACAAGTCCCTATCCTTTCAGATGTCCCCACATCTATCCTGCATGAAAAACTTGCTGGAGGCACGTGTGATAATATTACAGAGGTAGAACTCTGTTACATTTACAGTGGGTGTCAGGGTATGAGAAATCCTCCTACCCACCGGCTGAGCACAGGACCTCCTAGTGGTCAATCGAGGACACCAGGTCTAAGAGTAAAAAAACTTTTGACCCTAAGAAATACATATAAACTGTGGGATAAAGAGTGGCATGAAATTTTAAAATATTTTAGCTTATCTACAAAAATTGGATAATATTAATTTAACCAGTAAGAACTGATTGCTTATATCCATTATGCTGATTAACAAGCCACTAATTTTACCAGTGAAGGCCCATTTCTGACATTTTTACTGATGCTCAAGTGCTCATCAAAAGACAGATAATGGGGACCCTTGTAGCTGCTGTCTTGCCTTTCAGAGTGGGTGCTGCTGACTAGCCCTGGGATGTGGATTCCTGATTAGAGCAAGTAATTGCCTTTTCTAAAGTGAAGTTTAGACCGGTGCAGATATTACCACACATTATGATGAAGTGTTTAAAATAAATTACATTATATTATCATCTCTCTTCATATCAATAGACTATTTCACTCTCCAAATATCTGATTTGCCTAATTTTGTATTAATGGCTATTAAAGTTGCAAAACTCCCTTAATTTCAAGAGCCATTATTCGTTTTTGTTTATCAAGATGCTATATGTGTAACTGATTTACTCACTCTGAGGTGCTTCACACACATATTTCACTGAGAAAAATTAAGCCACCGGGAATTGTCCCATCTCTCCATCGTCATCATTTTCAACCTACCTTCATTTGGTTTGTGATTACATTAAATCAGTCCCTCATCTTCAGCACTGAATCCCAGCCTCTCTGTCTTTCCAAAAATGCCTTTACTATTGTATCTCTCCTTCCTTCCCTCCCTTCCTCTTTCTCCTTCTCTCTCTTCCTCTCTCTTTCTCTTTTTCTCTAAAGCATTGTTTCGCAGCCCCCTAATTTCTTGGATCAACTATCAATTTACAAAATTTGTTTTTGTAGCTCCCAGCTTTGACAAAGCCCTCCCTTGACAACTTGTCCTTAACCAGCTACTATTAGATTTCCTTCTTCTCCTAAATGGCAAAATACCTGAAAGACTCAAACATTTGAGGAAGAAACGTTTTGCTTCCTGACTTCCAAGTCTCCCACCGACCCATCCCTGCAGGGTGTCATTCCTGCTACCTCACTGCAGCCTCCCTTGGCGTGGTTATTGACCTCTTCCAGAATACAAACTGCATTAGCCAGAAGTTTGCTCTCCTTTCTCTGACCTCTCAGCAGGGCTCTACACAGTTGGCCAAGTCCACTGATAGGAAATACTTCCTTCTCTGGCTTTCTAAGGCTCTACCTTCTCCTGAATTCCCCACTTCCCCAAAGGCAGCTCTTTCCCAGTTTCCTCTTCTGAATGTTGCCTGGAGTGTTTTGAGCTCAATTCTGGACCTCTTTCCCTTACTGTGTACACTCTCTCAAATGCACTCTTTAGTTTCAAGGCTTTAAAAATTATGTATGTTGCTGGCTCTCAACTTCAGCCTTAACCCAACTGTGGACTTCCACACTACCCTACGTGACCTTCTCCATTAGAATGTCTAGATTAGATTTAATCTAAATCTGAAATATGCAGAGCAGAACTCTTGATTTCTTGCCCCAAGCTGGTTCCTTATTTCTCTAAGAGCTTCACTGCCCCTCTGTTGCTCAAGCCAAATTCCTAGTGAGACATCCTTGAGTCCTTGTTTTCCTTATTCCCCAAACTCAATCCATGAGCAAGTTTCACTTGCTTTACCTCCAAATGTTGTCCCTCTTTCTCTCTTCATCCTTACAGCTATCACACAAATCCTTCATTCCCCCAGAAGCCCCGCATAGTCAGCACAACAGGAGTGATCAGTGCAGAGATTGGGGCAGAGCAGAGACATTTGGAGTATGGCCTTGTAGGTCACCATAAGAAGTCTGGGTTTATTCTAAACTGGATGGAGAATAACTTGATGTGAAGCAGGGAGTGACACAATGCAGATTTTACAAGATCTGTCTGAATGCTCTGTAGGGAATGAGGGGTGCCCCAGAGTTGGGAAGGAATGTAGGAAAGGAGTGGGCTGTGGCTCTGTGGTTTGCAGAAGCCAATGTTCCCCTTTGTTCGTCCCTTGACCAGGCTTGGGTGAACTGATTGCGGTCTTTGTTCAAGAGGCCAGCTCTCAAGTGAGATTACAGCAAATTTCTTTTCTCACGGTCAACTCTGACTTGATATTAAGGAAGGATGACTGAGAAATGGAGCTTTTGCTAACACTAGATTAGTACTAATGATTTGGGGGTAGTTCTGGTAATAGCATAGCATTCTCATGTCTTCAAAATTTTTAGCTAGAGTACAGGTCAGAGAAAGAATAGTATTTTTCCCTTTAGACCCTTTGTGATTTCTGTCCCCTTTATGTATGTAACTGGTATGTTGGACAGACAAGATTAAAGGGGTATGATTAAAAATCAGCTTTGATCTTGTGTCCCCCCACCTCCCTGCCTCCCCATCAACTCTCTAATTAAAACTCGCCGGGGAAGTACTACCCTTGATTTGAATGAAAACTTGAACTGTTGCAGGAGATTTCTGTTGCTCCTAGGTAATAAAAACAATTCCAGCCTTGCTTTAAGGTACACAAACACAGTGCACATTTATTTTTCAAAAGTCCTGGGCAGTAATTAAAGCTCTGAACTTTATTTAAAGTTAAATCTTTCCCCTTCCCTGAGTTTGCTACACAAAGAGGCCCATGGTCCAGGAGAGGAGTCATTTCCTTCTCTCTTCTCATGATTGAGGAATGTCAAAAAGCCTTGAGAAAAAGGCTGAATACATGCAACTACATAGAAATTTTAGATTCATTAAACAAAATATTGAATTTAGGAAACAGCACATGCTGACAAAGGGTAGTTCTTAAATGTTTCCTATGGCACAATTTTTTGAAAAACCAGAGGGATGCTAATTCCACAAGTGACTTTTTGACATTGCAGCTAGTAGTTAAACCGGCTCTTTGGAATGTTTTCTAAACAAGTAGATTTTCTCCTATGATTATATGAATAAAAAGAGCACGTTTTTGTTTTATTACGGTCTATTGACATATTCTATCAATTACATGCTGCTCTCAAAAAAGTTTTCACATGACAAAGCCGTGAACTTTGCTGCTTTTGCTAATTCAGCATGAATTGTATAAATTGTATTTTCGAAAGGGATTTAATTCATAGCCAGGGTATGATTTTCACAATATCTTACTGATGGTTTTCATATGATGATAATTCATCATTGATCTCCCTTGAATAGTTTTTAGAATCTGGTAAACTCATTAACTAGTTTCAGTTAATAGTTGAGGAACATTTGGATTTGAGACTCAAATGACTATAGTCTTATTGGTTTCCTGAATTTTTTTACTGATCCAAATCCTAAAGAAAATAATAAAATTTTTCTTTATAAATGAATATGGTGAAATAGCTTCATATTCATATTTTGGTCTAAAAACTCCTTTCTCTAGTCATATGCAATTAATCATATTCACTTATGAGACATGATTAGAGTTTTTAAAAAGAGAAATGCCATATATTTATTCAAACACTGTTTTATTGCTTACCTGTTTAAACACATTTATTATTTTTAGAGTGTGCTTAGTGATTAATTCCTTGGTAATATAGTTTTCATGCTTTGCAAATCTTCTCTGTTGGAACATAATATGCAATTTAAAGATGAAAGCTTGTGGAACAATCCCAGAAGCAGTTGATATATCAACCTTGACACAAACCAGATGTGAATTTCCATCAAATTGGCACCAAATATTTTTGCATATTTGAAAAACTAAGCACAGTTTTAAATTACTTATTACATTAATGCACTTTATTACCTGATTTAGAATTCTCATTTATTTGCATGTTGACAGGTTGCCTCCGAGATGGTCAACATTATGAAGAAGGATCTGTAATTAAAGAAAACTGCAACTCCTGGTAATGAACTTAAGTGACAGCTGAATTCTACTGTCTGTGTATGTTTTCTTCAAATAAAAGGGATATTTGTGAAACAAAGCATCTATTAAAACACAGGTTGAATGATAAGTCAAAAGATAGCTCAATCGGTAGCTTTTTATCAGCATATTTAATTTTAGTAAATGTTGAAGTATCTAATCATGAATATATCTTTTAATGCTTGAATTTGATGTTCCCAACAGTTGGCCTTCACCATACAGCAGGCCTGTATTAAATATACCTCTTAATTATAAACACTGTTCTATACTACAGGCAAATCAAGTTTCTTTGGACACAGAAACTATATATAAACACAGGCTGCCTTAAAAGGATTAGAAAGTTTCTAAATACAAATACATTGACTCTGTCTAAATTGTCTTCTGTTTTCCAGCTTCAGAGAATGTGTGGATGTTTCATTAGTTAATTGCACTGAGTGGAAGATAAGAGCATATTGAGTGGCAGTGAATGCAAGTGGTATGGTTTATTTTTGCCAAGAATAAAATAGGCATGTGGCTTATTATTAATCAAAAATGTCTTATGCATTGACAAAGTGCACCTCTGGTTACTCTGGTTACATTTCGGTAAATGTCCTCCATAAAGGCCAGGCCACTTTTGTAATTTGTATATCTTTGCAGCACATGCTCAGGCCAGCAATGGAAATGTTCCCAGGATGTGTGCCTTATTCAACCAGAATTAATTGAACGTGTCAATAAAGGAGACTATGGGTGAGAGAAATCTTGCTTTACAGACTTTTTGGCACTTCCAGTTACTCCTCAGGTTTCCAACAATGTGTTTCCTATCATTTACTTCTAAAAATGGTCATTATTTCAAAAGAAAGAATGGGAGAGACATGGGAAGGGAGGTAGAGAGGCAGATAAAACGAATACAGAGCTAAACATTAGTTAAGAAATAAAATGCATTAAGAAGAAATATAAAGCACTGTCTTACATTGTCTAGGAAGAGCAGTGTGAGGGTGTGAGCTCGGAGAGCAGAGGAGCTTTAGTTTGGGTAAGTATTCAGGCGACATCAGGGTGCAGGCAAGATTGATTTACCCGTGTCAATCGTCTTCTCCCCACTGCTGCTACCCTGACCCAGCCAATTACATGTTTAGCTACTCTGGGTAGAACCTGATCTTAAGAGGGTGGTATTTTATCTTGATGAACCCCCAAAGAAACCAGTCCATCTAGACAATTTCACTGACATGACTGATACTTAACCAATTTCACTTACAATTGAGTCAAAAGGTTGAACCACTTTGCTAATAAAGATAGGGCTGATTGACAGTTAAACATATGAAATAACTGTTTGATGCTCTCCACCAGGTTAATAAATCTCCATTCACATACAGAGAATTGAGAAGTAGATGCAAACAGTGGCTTTCTTAAGGAAGAGGGGTAGGCTGGCTGGTACCTGCCTCAGGATTTCTCTACTGCCAATGATCAAATCTCTATATACCTTTGATAACATTTTCTACATTCTGGAAAAGATTTCACGTAAGAAGATCTATTCTCAAGCAACTATAAAAGTGAAATGTATTTTTAAAAATTAGAAATATAATTTCCTTTTACATATAAGATATATGTTTCCCAGCACAATGAGGACAGTGAATTTCAATATACCCGAAGGATTTCCTTGGAAGACATGAAATACAGAAAGTCACACTGCTGACATTAATATTCTTAAACCATTCTCAACTCCTGTGTGTGTGTTTAACCAATACTTCAGGTGATAATATAATGGTATTATAACTATTTCTAGGGAAAGCCAGTTACAGTTTTTGTGAATGATATGTGTCATCACAAGAAATTATCTGAATCAGGCTCCTAAAAGGATTCAAATGTTTGACGTAGTAAGCACACTCTTCCAAGAAGCCCTAATAAACAGCCTGCTTTTCCATAGTCTCAGAACCCCCTGAGAAATCCCAGTCAATGGGGAGGAAAGCACAGGTATGAGCATAGAGACTGTTGGGAGTGCTACGTTCCTTGGAAAGGACAATTTTCTTTCCACGATTTGTTTATTGTGTGCACCCTCTAGTCTTTAAAAAGGCATGAGCTTTGCCTTTAAGTAGCAAACAGATGACTCTAAAAGAATACAAAGTGAAGTGTAACTGGAACAAAAGAAAACATATACAGATCCAGGGGGAAAAAAGGTATAACAGACATGCTTTGAAGAAAAGGAGGAAAATTAAAAATTATTTACCAGGGGGAAAAGGGCAGAGAACATCCTTGAATTTAAAAGAAAGTTCCAATTCTCAGATACTTTCTGTTCTGATGTTCAAATTGTTTTCAATTTGTGTGAAAGCAGAATCATATTATATCATTCAGTATTTATTAAGTGCTTTTTAAAAAAAGCTCACATACAAATAAATACAACCATTGCTTTGAAATATTCATTTCTCATATCTTGGCAGTCTTTTAGATCCAAGCCTTTATTTATTCTGTATAACTTCGTTCAGTGCTTATTTATTCCCTGTAATATTTTTAATGCATACAGTATTAACAAAACATGTACTTCCCTTGTGGCACTGCTGAGGATACAAATAAATAATTTATGTCTTAAAGAAATTTACAACCTAGCTAAGAAGTCAACATGTCCTAACTTTGTAAAAGGATTTCTAATGATAGAACAGTATATAAATGCCAAATTAGTAGCATGAGTAACAGTAAGCGAGTTAGGGGAACAAAGAGAGATAATTGTTTCAGTTATCTGATGCGGTGCAATGAGCCACTGTGGAATTTACCAGCTCAAAACCACAAGCTTTTCATTTGTTCACATCCGCAATTGGTGATGGCCTTAGCTGAGGCTCTTTTGCTGGTCTCTCCGGGGGTTACTTATGTGTCTCTGGACATCTGAATCCTCAAATGGGGCTGAATTGTCTGACAGGGCTTCACTCCTGTGTCTGCTGGTCGTTGCTGGTGACTGGTGGGCCCACGTACCTCCAGAGGGTGGCCTTAGCTTCTCCACATCCTGACAATGATCTAATGGGATGTGAATGGAAGCTGCACAGAGCCCCTCTTGCGGCCTCAGCTTGAAAGTTGCACCCATCAAGTCTCCTTTCTGTTGGGCAAAGCAAGTCACTAGGCCAGCTCACATTCAAAGGGTGGGGAAATAGACACCACCTCTTGATGGAAAGAGCCATCAATGACTTGTGGCCCTTTAAGTCTGTCACATGCCTAAACTTGATTTTTCTTATGAACTCAAAATCTAGTCTATTGGATAAACTGGTCTTGATTTTTCCCTGGTTTCTTAAAATCAGCATACCCCAAGTGGAAAGGACTAACTGTTTGACCTGTCCTTGGTTACGGATATCCCCTCTGCCTTGTCGACCAAGCAGAACATGTGTAGTTTGATTTTTGTTTCCTCTTCACCCTCAGTCACTAGGCTCTTCTAATCCCCACACGGAACATTTCTTTTAGATATTATTTCCTCTGTTCCTAGCTATATACCAGTACATTTCTTTAGCAAGCTTAGTTTGAAGTGGCCTGACTTTTCTCTCTTTTTCCAGCATGAACAAACTCCAGCCAATCTTCATACTTTCCTGGTTATCCTTCTAACACAAAGCTTTGCTTCTGCCACTCAAAGTCTTAAAAATTCCCAATGACATTCCATTGTGTATAGGATATAATTAGATTCCTTGGCACAAAAAGAAATCTGCCCCCAATGCTTCCTTACGGCCTCATCTTTTGCACTCTTGACAGTCTCTGTGTCCCTAGCCCCTCTCACAGTTTAAGGATTTAACTTATCTCCTTCTCTCTAAGTGTGCTTCCCAATTTTAGGCCAGATGTTTTGTTCCAGAGTTGCCTTCGTTTAAGATAAATCTCTTCTTTCTTATCTGGCCACCAAACTAATTCTCATCCTTCCAGACTGAGCACTAAAGTCTTTTTCTGTAAAAAAAATTGTACCAACTTCTTCAGGCAGAGTTCTTTGAATTCTCTGCTCTGATCCTACTTTGACCTACTGCTAATAAATGACACATACTGAAGTCACACCTACTTTTGTAGTCTTTCTAGGGTGTAAGCCCCTTGAGGGTAGGGAAATTTACTTCTATAGCCTCAGTGTTTATGACAGAATATAATGGATAAACTGAGAATGTTCAGTAAATGCTAAACTGGATAAAAATGAGGGTGATGACTAGATTAAAGAGGCTCGTGTAAGTGCCTTTCACACCTTCTTGAGCATAAGCCACAGTAAAACATACATTTAACATTTAGTATGCACACACAAATGTATACACACACACACTATTTATACATATAAACACATATAACTAGATATATATATAGTATAACTAGATATATAGTATAACTATATATAGATATATATAGTATAACATATAACTAGATATATATAAATAGTATTTACTCTCACTATATGATTAAACTCTTGTATTTCCTATTATTTCTCATTTGTACTATTTTATTTGTTAAATCACTGATACCTGCTCACTAAATTGAGAGATTAATTACATGATCCATGAATGTCTCTGAACTCTGAAAATAACTAGTGTAGGGAAACAAAAGCATACTTTACTGATGTCATGATTTTGCCTAAGGCTGATCTTATTAATCTCTTTAATAATGTAATATCTAATATATTCAGAGGTTTCTATATTGAAATTCCTTGAGTGATTGAGATTGTACTTAAAAATTGTGGCTCAAAGTTGTTTAAGGTTTTATGAACTAACAGATCCTATAAAAGAAATGCATTCACTCGCTAGGGATGTTATTAAAAATTGAGTTGTATTGTCGGTAATTCATAAGAGCTTATCATGTTATAAACAGTTTTGGTGATAAACACAATAGGAGTAAATTTATATTTGACTTAAGTATTAAAAATATATTGCCTTCAAGCTGTAGATAAGTTAAACAAATAATGATTAAATTATTTTCATCTTCCTCATATTTCATCTCCTATCATCTCTTAAGGAATTTTTGTTGTCTTCAAATTTCAATATTAGATTTTGAAAACAAAGCTTCTTTTTCTATGTAAGAGCACAAAGTATGTCTCTAGAAAGTATGTGCTTCTTGTGATCTAATAATAATGTGACTAATTGAGCACTTAACACAAATTACCTCCTTAAATACATATATTCCAAAAGAATATTCTATTGGATAGAATATTCCAATATTTAAATAAAATATTTCAATTGAATTTCAACAAAATCAATTAGTCCTGATGTCATCTTTTAAAGTGTAACTACCCTCAATTTTTCATGGGTACTTCTTTTATGTGATCAACTTCTCTTTCAATGTAAATTATAAATAAAACATACCCTGTTTAATCTACAAGTACATTTCCACATTTAATTACATTTAAAAGGAACTGCATATGATGGAGAATATAACCAATTGTTCTGTAACATCTTTCTATGTTGACCAATAGTAACCATACTAGTAGGGGCAAGGATTCAATAATGTGGGTAACTGTTGAATCACTGTGTTGTACATTGTTTCAACCAATATGATTTGTATATCAGCTATACTTTAATTTAAAAAAAATTATTCAGTGAAAAAAGAAGCTGTGTATATTGGCTTTACAACCACCTAATCCCTTTACAATCTGTAAAGATAACATATTCTTAAATTTAGTCTATATTGATATAGCTTTAGGTTCATCATATGAGTCATTAAAATAATTGCAGTAGATCTAATTTAGGAAGAGTCTCTTATATGCCTCACTACTGAAGTAATCAATAATGAATGTGTCATTTATATAAAGAATATCTAGCTTACAATAATAGTTTCAATTTTGTAAGATTTGCTTCTGAATAGTTTCAGAAATATCAATGAACATGCATTTCTAAAAGTGATATTACAGAGCTTGTACATATTTTTCTCTTTCCTCTGTAAGGCAGATGGACGGCCCAAAACTACAGCCAGTTCTGGGGAATGACTCTAGAAGAAGGTTTCAAATATCGTCTTGGCACCTTGCCACCGAGCCCCATGCTTCTGAGTATGAATGAAGTGACAGTAAGTGTTCTCTGATGCATGTATGACCGTGGGATTGTGTGGGTGTGTTCATATGTGCACTCAAAGCAGTTTTACTTAAATAACTAAAATAATGAGTTTTGAACTTTCAGGGTTATAATTTTGTCGTATAAATAAAAACACCTTTCCAAAATGGTTGTTCATCTTCAAAAGTTTTATAACTTGGAAAATTCACTAATACCCATTAGATACAGTTTCCTATCTTCAGGAATAACTGTGTGTTCATTTACATTGCTAATCATTTCATAGAAATTCAGGTTTCTAATGATTGGTTCAGGGACCCAATGCTTAAGCAAGTCACTAGTTGGTCTTTTTTTTTTTAAGTAAACACAGTTATTTTGTGAATTCATCAAAACAGAGTTTTGAGGTCACTTGGGCTATCTCTTATCCCAGGAGGATAAAAATAAATGCTAGCAACTGGAGACATGTATGCTATGATGATTAATAAAGGTTTATACTCAAAAATCCTCAAAATTTCCAGTAAAATAAACACCTTTATATTTTGTGTTCCCTTTGTGAAATTTCCATGTTTCCTCACACTCTTATGCTTATTGTATTGGTTTCCCTTCCCTTTCTAAGAGGGGTTATCCTCTGATTGTAGGCATATTGCATAAAGGGGTTTCCACCCCTCCAGTTCTCCCAGACCTCTAACTCATAGGGCTGAAATTGACTCATGTGTGGTGATTCTCAGGAACACACTTGCCAGTTGAGATGTTGACTGTCTTCAAGGCCCATTGGCAATGCCAGGGCTCCCAGCAGGCTGCTGGGGTCCAGGGTCTTCACTCTGCAAATGAAAGCAGGTCCTGGCTGCCTGGAAGCTTGTGGTGTCTTGGAGCCAGCAGGGCTGTTTGCTGTTGCAAGACTTGTAAATCCCCAGGTTTCTCATTAAATGTTTAGTGTGCTTTGCTTTCAAGAGATGTGATCCCCTGAGTTATTATTCCAATTCAGATTCCAGTATCAAGGCCTGCTAAATTATAACTAGTATCAGAAAAGATCATAATAGCTGCCATTTGCTGAGTAGTTGCGTGCTAAGCCCTCTTGAAAGCACTTTAATGCATTATCTCATCTAATTCCCACAGCAGCTTGATGGAGTGAGTACTGTAATTATCCACATTTTAAAGACAAGAAAATTGAGATGGAGAGAGGTTAAGTCACACTGAGATCCAGAGAAGTGAAAAGTCACCACAGAATTACTGAAATTGCAGAGCCTGGACATCTTATAAGAGTCTCCAGAATTCCAGTAGAATCAGTTAACTTTGGCCAGGTCAGGTTCAAAATGGCAAAGAGCAGAGTTAACTCTATTAAATTACCAGTTTAGATATGTTTTTGCATCTTTCCCACATCAGTAAGATACAAAATCTTTACAGACATGGCTCAGATTCATGGTTTTTAGTGACTCGACTCTATGATCAATTAGAAAAGAGTTATATATTTTTTAATGGCTATTTTATTTTTTCATTTTTGCCCACCTGGAAAAAAAGAAACAAAATTGCTTAAGAAAATAATAAATTCACCCTCTCTCTAAGGATCGCTCTTTCCCTTGAGGGCCTCAGACAGCCAGATACTCATTTGTGTGTCTATATACATTTGCTCCAGATTATTTCTAACATTTCCTTTTTAAGCTTTAATTTCTGCAACTTAGAATATTTTCTATTCTAGAGAAAGCAAGCTAAATGTCTTTCCCAAGTTGCCAATCACCATAGCATAGGAAAAGAAATTGAATTCTAAATCATTTATGGCTGCTGAGGATTTGTTTGCATAAAAGGCACTGTGGTGATGTTTAGATGAAAAATCTTAATGATTAGTATTTTGAGAAAATCTAAATGACCTAGTGCTCTGAATTAATGTAATCCAGTTGCCAAATAATTCCAGGAAAGCAATAAGGAAGATTCAGCTGATCTTTAAGACTTCCATTACCCACTCATGATGTAAGGCAAGGAAATAGCTTATTTCTAAGGCACTCTAGCTTGCACAACTGAGGACCTTTCAAAAAGTTTCTAGTATTGAAGCTGTCCTGATATCCGGAGATAAAAGAAAATCAGAAGTATAACAAGTATTTCTAGGAAGAACATGAGGGCACTGTGAATGAGAACTGGTAGCTACTAGAAGAGCTAAACAATAGGTTAATTTCTAACCTGGTGAACTACATATAAAATACCCCAATACATCAAATTGCCTTGAGTACAGTGAAAATGAATTACTTTTTCTGTGGGTATGTCTCTGGATAAGTTCCCACATACACTTTTTCCCAAATTCTTTTTTTGTACCATTTTCAACATAGGATGGTTTTATGTACAGTTAGGATAGGCCGTTGCTATCAGCGGTAATAGTTTTTGAGATAAAATACATTGCACCGCCACCCCCAAACATCTCCCTTTCTTTGATCGCATTACTTGGAGGAGAGTTGATGTTCATAAAATTCTTTTTCCTGGTTGGGAAAGGTGAGCTCTGAGTCACCCTGGTTCCCAGGAAAGCTCTTCTCTTTCCTAACTGGTTTCTTGGCTTCATTCCTTAAGCATCATGGATGTCATTATGAGGACATCATTAAGCCGTCATCCCCATAATGTGTCTGCTGAAAGTGAGTTAAAGGAATATCAGTAGATGTACAAAAGTTCCATTTCATATAAATGTGAAACATCTGTTCAATCTATATGAATTAGGTGAATTGAAATTAATTTTTGTAGCATGTGCTTAGTAACAGTGAAGAAGAGAAATATGTTGATAGCAGAGGATTGGATAAAGGTAACTTAAGGATTTTGGGGGCCCTTCCTGGATGGCAATCCTAGGTGGGGGCAGACAAAAGACAACTTAAATGTATTGTTTTCTCTGGGCACAAGCAAAGTAGATGAGAGGAAGCAAAAAAAAAACAAAAGGAGGTGGCGTGAAGAAAGTCGGCTGAGAAGGGCCCTGTGCAGACCATGCAACGCCTTGCTGTATACCAAGACTCTACCCACCTTGTCCAGTGTCAGGTCAACGAATGCCAATGAATTCATACCTGTTTTTTCTGGTGTAGTATATTGAGACTGTTCAAAGTATTGTCTTGAGTGGACAGCTCTGTCCCAAAATGTTCTACGCTGAAAGTGTTAGGAACAACTGGTTGAATCAACCATTCTCTGTCCGTCCACTTGAACTTTGTATGTTGTATAGTCTCACAGTGCGACTGATTGGGAGCCGGCCTTAGGAAGGACTGGAGCTCCCCACAAGCACGTTAATTCTGCTCCGTGAATCTTTTGTCTCCCTATTGTGCCATTTCCTCACACTCTTATGCTTATTGTATTGGTTTCCCTTCCCTTTCTAAGAGGGGTTATCCTCTGATTGTAGGCATATTGCATAAAGGGGTTTCCACCCCTCCAGTTCTCCCAGACCTCTAACTCATAGGGCTGAAATTGACTCATGTGTGGTGATTCTCAGGAACACACTTGCCAGTTGAGATGTTGACTGTCTTCAAGGCCCATTGGCAATGCCAGGGCTCCCAGAAGGCTGCTGGGGTCCAGGGTCTTCACTCTGCAAATGAAAGCAGGTCCTGGCTGCCTGGAAGCTTGTGGTGTCTTGGAGCCAGCAGGGCTGTTTGCTGTTGCAAGACTTGTAAATCCCCAGGTTTCTCATTAAATGTTTAGTGTGCTTTGCTTTCAAGAGATGTGATCCCCTGAGTTATTATTCCAATTCAGATTCCAGTATCAAGGCCTGCTAAATTATAACTAGTATCAGAAAAGATCATAATAGCTGCCATTTGCTGAGTAGTTGCGTGCTAAGCCCTCTTGAAAGCACTTTAATGCATTATCTCATCTAATTCCCACAGCAGCTTGATGGAGTGAGTACTGTAATTATCCACATTTTAAAGACAAGAAAATTGAGATGGAGAGAGGTTAAGTCACACTGAGATCCAGAGAAGTGAAAAGTCACCACAGAATTACTGAAATTGCAGAGCCTGGACATCTTATAAGAGTCTCCAGAATTCCAGTAGAATCAGTTAACTTTGGCCAGGTCAGGTTCAAAATGGCAAAGAGCAGAGTTAACTCTATTAAATTACCAGTTTAGATATGTTTTTGCATCTTTCCCACATCAGTAAGATACAAAATCTTTACAGACATGGCTCAGATTCATGGTTTTTAGTGACTCGACTCTATGATCAATTAGAAAAGAGTTATATATTTTTTAATGGCTATTTTATTTTTTCATTTTTGCCCACCTGGAAAAAAAGAAACAAAATTGCTTAAGAAAATAATAAATTCACCCTCTCTCTAAGGATCGCTCTTTCCCTTGAGGGCCTCAGACAGCCAGATACTCATTTGTGTGTCTATATACATTTGCTCCAGATTATTTCTAACATTTCCTTTTTAAGCTTTAATTTCTGCAACTTAGAATATTTTCTATTCTAGAGAAAGCAAGCTAAATGTCTTTCCCAAGTTGCCAATCACCATAGCATAGGAAAAGAAATTGAATTCTAAATCATTTATGGCTGCTGAGGATTTGTTTGCATAAAAGGCACTGTGGTGATGTTTAGATGAAAAATCTTAATGATTAGTATTTTGAGAAAATCTAAATGACCTAGTGCTCTGAATTAATGTAATCCAGTTGCCAAATAATTCCAGGAAAGCAATAAGGAAGATTCAGCTGATCTGTAAGACTTCCATTACCCACTCATGATGTAAGGCAAGGAAATAGCTTATTTCTAAGGCACTCTAGCTTGCACAACTGAGGACCTTTCAAAAAGTTTCTAGTATTGAAGCTGTCCTGATATCCGGAGATAAAAGAAAATCAGAAGTATAACAAGTATTTCTAGGAAGAACATTAGGGCACTGTGAATGAGAACTGGTAGCTACTAGAAGAGCTAAACAATAGGTTAATTTCTAACCTGGTGAACTACATATAAAATACCCCAATACATCAAATTGCCTTGAGTACAGTGAAAATGAATTACTTTTTCTGTGGGTATGTCTCTGGATAAGTTCCCACATACACTTTTTCCCAAATTCTTTTTT